AAGGTATTCAGGTTCATAGAAGGTGTTCATGTCATAGAAAGTATTCAATAAATATTGTTGGATACATGTTTATGTTTATTTATGTCAGTAAATGGCACCATTACAGTTCTAATGTCTGAGACCTGGAAAACATTTTTGATACTCCCTCTACCTTTCCCTGACTCCAGTGAAATCAAAGAGATGAGAGAAGTAGCTAGCAATCAGATTAGGTAAGGACATGTAGGGTCTCAAACTCTTACAGGATCTTTGTTAGAATGCGGGTTGATTATTCTTAGTGAGATCAGAGGTTATTGGAGGGTTTAAACCTTAAGCCCATAGTAGTGGTTAAAAGCTGACTTACGCTGTAAAACCGTACTGTCTTAAAATGATAGCCACTAGTCACATATATTTATTTACATTTAAGTTATTTAAAATAAAATTTCAGTATTTGCTGATTGGGTATAGGGAGGGGAGAGAGAGAACAGAGTCAAGGGTCAAAGACTGCTAATGGAAGAGTTGAAATTTGGAAGGATATACATAAATAAGAGAGCGAAAGCTTATGGGGAAAATGACTGGGATTAGAATGTAGGAGTAAGGTGGGAAATAATAAAACAAACTCCATGCATACTGATGAAGATAACTTGCTAGGATGCCAGGATGATGAACTAAATTCAATATACCTAAAGGCCCCCTTGAAGGACAGAAAGAAAAAACAAAGGAAGACATGTAAGCAAGTGGTTTCTCTCCACTTTAAATTTTCAGATACTATCTTTTTTCCTTTAATTATATCACCAGCAGAAAAGGAGACTGGTAAAAACCCTCCTTACACTTATATCTTGCCTTTCTCCCAGCTATGAGACTCGTATTACTGTATTATTCACTATATCCTTTTAATAAAATAGCTCATAGTATACTTACGTAACTTTTTGACTTCTGTTCTGAACTGTTAGTTTTACTAGAAACTCCCCAAATCCCTTTCTCATGAGTGAATTTTTTATTTGTAGGTATCTAAACATACTGTGATTCTCTGCTTCTCCATGTACAAGATCTGTATTTTCAAAATACAATATACTAATACATGGCTATGCTTTAGTAATGATTAATCCCACTAAATCTTTGTGCTACAGTTAAAAACAAGGCTATAGTTGATATGAGTTATTGCTATGCTTTGTTCACTGACTCACTAATTCATCAACTATCAACTCAACACCTGTGTTCTAGATTCAGTGAATCGATAAAGAAAGCATAACCCCTGAAGGATTTCCTATGCTTGAGGAGGAAGATAATGTAGACAAGAGAGATAATTGCAGTGTAATATGGTAAGTGTTCTGACAGAGTGTGAACAAAAGTACAGGGGAAAGTATGGGGGTGCATAACTGTAATAGTCTGGGAAAGAGTGCATTTTTAGAGGTTTCATTTAAGCTGGTAAAGAGACTTGGCAGGAGAAGAAAAATGGAATGACATCTAAAGTCTTAAATAATATTTCTATCTTTTTCCATTGATTTTCTCCTAGAAATTCTCCTCAGTTGCTAACTGGTTCTCTCAGAATTCAGTTCATTCAACTTAATCAACAAAAAGCTTTTAGCTAATATAAGAAACTACTAGCTGTTGTTGGATAACTATAAAAACAAAATCTTGAATTTCAAGAAACATATTAAGACAAATTCATTCTATTTACTACCAACTGTATGCACACTCACTATTCAAGATCTGACATATGTATAACCAAAAAGTGTAACATTTTTGAAATGTCATATGATTAAAAAAAAAGTAACATTTTACAATATAGCATTATGAGTCACTGTGGATTCCCATAACAAAATACCACAGACTGGGTGGCTTAAACAACAAGAATTAATTTTGTTCTGGAGACTAGGAGTCCAAGATCAAGGTGCCAGCAGGACTAGTGTCTGGGGAGAGCTCCCCCATTGGGATGCAGATGGCCAGCTTTTCGTTGTGCGCTCACATGGTCTTTCCTAGGTGTGCACTCAAGGAGAGAGTGGTGGTTAGCTTGGTGTCTCTCCTTTTAAAGGACACCAATCCTATCAATCAGGGTCCAACCCTCATGAACTCTCCTAATCCTAATTAATTCCCAAAGGCCCCATCTTTAAATGCCACCACATTGGGGATTAGGGCTTCAACATATGAATTTGGGGCAGGACACAAAGTCTTTTACAGCAGGTTAGGCAGTATGTTAGCAGGTTCATTAATAAATAAGAAAGCAGAGACACCACCTCCATGTTAAGAATGGAAATCTTTCTAGTGAGGAAACCTGTTCTTGGAATAGCTTTTGGCAAAGTTTAATTAAAAACTATGGCAATTAAAAAAAAATCTTAAGACTATAGAATTATTCTCAAAATCAGTGTCTATCATTGTTTTATGACTCAGATGATCTGATTTATGACAATGAAGTATAACAAAACCATCTGGTAATATTATTGTGATACACCTTAATTTTTTATACCCAGGCTTAATTTGAAGGTTTAAAGCATACCTATGAACATTTTCCACAGGCAAGCCTATCAATAATTTTAAATTAGTTAATGCAAATTTTAAATTTACTTCAATTTTTCTTAGTGTAAAAACAATCTTTATGTATTTCAACAGTACCTTTAGAAGTTATGATATTATGTATTTTATACTCACATATGAAGTGGGACATAACTATACCCTCTATTCTTAATTATTAGAAAAGTATAGACAACTGCAAAGCTTAGCTTTATTGTTTTATCAATGAACTAGTAAAATTCATTTTAGTGAAACAAGCACATGCTTTTCATAAATTAACATAAATCTCACATGGTAAAGTACCCATTTTTAATTTAATTACATGTTTAAAGTTTGATTACACTTAATTAAGCATTTAAGTTTAATATGAAATAAATGAATTATCAGTTAACTATTATGAAATGAAATATTTCCTTGATAATTAAAATCTATAAATTTTCCTTTTCTGTGCAAAACTGCTAGTTCTCAAAAAAAAATCTGAAACAATGTATTTTAAAGACTATGGGACTTTTTTCACAGCTGATCAAAGTGCAGTTCTTCTGGAATCCAGCTTCTTGCACTGTGCATTTCCTGGTGCAGTACAGAGAAGAGAGCAGAGGTTTTTGAGACTTGGGTTTAGGTGGGTGACTTAGTCACTTAAGCCTGAAACAGTGGGAAAGCTACTTAGCATAACTGACCTTAAATTTCTTTTAAAATGTGGGTAATATTACTTCTCCCAGAGGGTTGTGGGGAGGATTACATGAGGTATCCCATGGCCAAATTCCTGGAACATTGTCTGACATGGAACAGGAATATAGCAAATATTAATTACCTCCTCCTTTTCGTTGCTGCATGAAAGAACAAAAGCCTTGTACTTTCTGGCTTTAAAAAAGTTTTATCCTTATAATGTTTCTTGAATTACAAAAGTAACACCACATTATTTTTAATTTACTTACATTGCACTTGATGTACATTTTACATTTTTTATCTCCTTAAGCTCTCCATAAATGGTAGCAGTATAGCATTATTGTTAGCACAGATTTTTGAGTAAGAAAGACCTATGAATCTCGGTTCCACCATTTACTATTTGAGAAACCATGGAAAACTTATTTTGACCTATTTATCAAGCCTGCATTTATAAGTACGTCTGGTTCAGCGAATGGCAAAAATGAATTTTTTCATTCATTTTTTTCACAGGAGGATATTTATTTTCACTGAATTCAAGGGATTTGCCCAAGGTTAACAGAAGGATGGACTTCGTACTGGGACTCAGATTTTTCAACAAAAATTTATCAGTGTGCTTCTTTCCTCTATAAAGGTAAGGCAAAGATAAAGGACACCAAAGTCTTTTGAAGCAGTAAAGGAAAAAGAAAAAGAGAGATCTGACTTTGGTTAAACCTGGCTCTATCACTTAATAGTTGAGCCTCGATAAACCACTTATGTGAATTTTGTTATCTTCTTCTGGCAAATGGGAATATGTACTTTTATAGGATTGATACAAGGATTACACTAGATAACAAACATAAAGAATGTGGCAGAGTGACTGACATATAGCAGTCATTCAAAACAGCAGCTATTAATACTAAGACAACATCAAAGCACCACTTTTGATAAGTCTCTAGCCATAGACTGGAAAGGCTATCATGAAGAAAATTTTTTTTTGGTAATAGATTTAATAAAAATAAATAGGATAGTCTTCACAGAGTTCTCAGGTAGTACTTCTGTAAGAGAGACTAGATTTTTAAGTCATTCCAGTTCACGAATTCCTAACTATTAAATCTCCACTTAAAAGTTCATCTCACTCTGAAAATAATGATTTTACAGTATGAAAGAAAATAGGGGGAATAACCTATCCCATGGATTATCTTCCCTTGATTCAACTGCAATAAGAATTGAAATGAAGTATTCTTAACACTTATAAATTATTCAAATAATTTTCAGAGTTTGACATAATAAATAACACTATAAACATGTTGGCTGGTTCAATACTTAAAACTCTTCATTGTAAAACTCAAATCTTAAATTCTCTTAAGTCACCTAAAAAAATATAGATTGCTTTATTTATGGCATAACTAGAAATAGAAAGCCTTTTAATATATTAAATTTTGGAAAACTTTCTGAGAGAGCACTTAACTGAAAAACATGGAGCAATAGCACTACTTTATACCAGTGTCATGGCTGTTATATTCAGTAATCAATATTTAGGTGTTTATTTGCATTTAGGGCTGAAAGACCCTGATTTAGAACTATTCCATATTTTCTTGAAAACAAAGACAACAGTTATTATAAATTTGGTATCCACACTTTCTAAGATGCAAATTGAGAGTAGTAGCAGGTCCAGCAGTTACAGGACCACAGGAAGAAAACTACATATAATGAAATAATATGAAACCTATAAAAACTTAAGGTTACATATTATGTAGGAAACTAACATTTACTATTAGGATATGTATCCCAGATATGAAATCTTTCAAAGAAGGTGGTAAAAATATAAGCTATTAATCTTTACAGTCACAATTGGGTCATTAACTTACCAGGGTTCTATGTTAAGAGTTGATATTTTTTCTGGAAGAAAAAATCCATGCCATTTTGAAGCCTCAATTAGTTCTTGTGGTATCTTTTTTGATATATCATAATAGTGGCCAAATCCTGAAGATGACACTGGTCTAGCCTATTAAGAAAACCCATATTGGTTGTTAAAAAAATATTATTGTGTCTTTAAACTATAATTTATTTGTCCTACATTCAGCAAAACAGATATATTTATTCATTTTAAAGCTAATAAGGAAGAGCTGATATATTTCAAAGAAGCACATAACAACTTTTATTATTTTAAACTATCCATAGTTAGAAATCAACATTTTCATCTTCCATTTTCACTCCTGATGATTCCCTAACTTTGATAAGAATTTAAACATCTCTTTGCTTTTTTAGTATACTGTGTACCTCCTCAAGACAAAAAATATAATATACACAAGTCTTAATTATTTTTTAAAGATTCCAGGATTTAATGACAAATTAAATATGCAATTGCAAAGAACTAATGAAAACTTAAGTAAAACTATTTTGGGGAGAGGCCCAAAAGATAGTAGCTATTCAAATATAAACTGAGCATCACTTTTAAACTAAATTCTTACAAGATGGTATGTGTATGCATATTCAAACATTTTGTAACCTTAAAATTAAGCTTATAGGACAAAATATGCTGGGATAGTCCAGTGGGGAACAAAGCACATGATAAAGTAGGAGAATGCATGTAAACTATGTTAGATAATTCAGAAACCTGGCATAATCATTAGTTCATTGATAATTCCTTTTTGATCTTTCTAGTAACAATTTATCCAGCAAATCATCTTTCTCATAAACTCTAATTATTATTGATGTTGATTTTATTTACATAGGATAATAAAGCCCGGTAATATAACATTATTATATTGTTCTGAATGGACTCTGGGCTGATTTTTTTAATTCAGCACATTAGAGATATATGTTCACCTCTATTCAAAGTTAAACTACTAACAGATTTCACCTGACACTAGTGTCTAATGAAATCTCTGACTTAAATTGAGATGATCTGCACTGTCCTGAATGCTACAAATTTCAGAACGTGCAACAAAAGAAGATGATTCTCTGCAGAAACTGAAGAACTATACACAGTTAGAACCTAACTTATCTTACTAAGTAACTGATAACTTTGTAATTTAGGTAAGAAACACATTTGCTTGACACTAGATATTTGCATTTTCAGACTTCAAGGACTCATAATCTTAAATTAAATGCCTACAAACATCAAATTATATAGTAACAAAATAAAAATTAAAGTCTAATAGAAACATTATTTTCAGAATCAGACTCTGTGGGTTTGACAAGTGTTCTAAATGAAATTTTAGATTGTTCATCCCACCATAAGGTACTTATTTCCATTAATGAAAGAGGCCTATTAATTGGTCAATCTCATTTTTTCAATACAATATACACAGAGGTATGGCTCCCAAAACATGATTTATCTTTTTACCATGAAAGTACTGACAAATTATGCAACATTAAAATATGTTCTTAAGAACAGGGTATAAAGTTTTTAAATGTAAAGTTATTAATCTAAAGCAATTTAAACAAGGTCTGTTATTTGGCCTATAATCTATTCTTTATCCGGATTATAGTTCAGAATGTTTTTACTGCAATCTCGGTTAGAGCTCATCTTTTTATTGTGTAAATCTAAGCCCCCTTAATGTTTTAGAAAGGCCTTGACTAACTGAACTTTGATCTGATGTCTTCATTGAGAAAAACACCAGGTTGCCCATTTCAGATGCAAATCCCTCTAAGGCCCAATAGAATTTAGTAAAGACAGCAAAAAAGAAGAAACAAGAAGTTTCCAGGATCCTCTTTGAGAATCCTGGGGCACACTGGTGTCCTTAATCCACACTGCTGCATGGATTAAGGTAGGTGATAACCTTTCCTGATTCAAAACAATAAACAGAGTGCCTACAAACTGGGTGGAGACTAGGATTTGGTAATAATAAAACACCATGCAATAAAAGCTTGGTCTGTGTCAGAAGCCCCTGAAAAGGCCTCAATGTACCACATTCCCAGGCTTAGTAGGGAAGCTTGCAAAAGCCTACCTGAATCAAATAAGCATGAATAATCTATTTTAGCAGACTGGCCATGGGGAGTAAGAAAGAAAGAGAGACTTTTCCCTTCTTTTAAGTTTGAGTTAATAAATTTATTAGTGGATTGAAGATTCTTGAAGTCCTATGCAGTCAAAGAAACATGCTAGATTGCCAAGAAGCAAAGTATGCTTTTTAAGCTGCCGTCTCTATTAATGTTTCTAAATATTAATGTAATAGAAATCTCAGATTTGGGATGAATTAAGGCAGAAAATTGATTTCATGCTGTGACAGTTTACAAATAGAACACAAATAATTCATTGAAATGCAAAAATAAATTTGGAAATTTGTATTAAAATGAAGTTATTAATTTTTTTAGAGATTAAGAGTAGATACAGTAACTGTTCACAAAGCAGACAATAAAAATTTTATTAATGATGAAAAACTTTAATCCCTCAATAAAAATGAAAATGAAAAATAAATATACTCTTATAGGAAAAAACAATTTTGTAAGCTTTTTCTATCCAAGACAGATAACATATAATCAGATTTTTGAAATGCTGTGAAATCTTTTTAGGTCTAGGGTTGTTAAACAAAGACAAAATTTATTTCGTTTAAAAATGGCAACTAAATGCTTTCAATCTAATAATAATAATACTCCATGAAAAACTGTCAACACCAAAAAGTAGTTGCATAAAAAAAAAAATGAAACTATCATCAATAACTAGTCAGTTTACTCAGTTTGATAGAACATGTTCCTTTTGTTTTACATTATGAAAAGTCCTGTTTCACATTTGTAAAACTGCCCTTTAACTTTGTCAACTATCAAAGAGAGTATGCTGAAATGGTATCACTACTACGATAAGGGAAAAAGAACTATGAATGGGAGGGCCAAGAGGAGCACAGGGCAACAAAACAGTATCATCCACCCCCTCCAGGATGCCAGGAACAGAACTTTCAGAGAAAAATTTGCATCACAAGCAGTCTAAAAAAGGCATTTTCTTATTATTGTTATCATTTCTTATTTCTCAGTATGGCATAACAGAAAAGTAAGAATCTAAATGGTTACTAACCTATTTTGAGCCTCAGTTCAATCACCAGAAATAGAGCTAATAATAACCATTTTAGTTGGCTTTTGTGAGGACCTAATATCATACTGGCAATGAAAATTTGTAAGTTGTAAAGCACTATATAAATGTTATCAATTATTATTACTGTGCCATGATTCACTAGAGAATCAGAAGATCCATCATTATCCTTTGTAATTACATTGCCTTATTAGAAAAATGATGTTTGTTTTCATCTACAACATGCCACATCTATCACAGGACTATTGTGGCTGAACCACTAAAGACAGAAAGCCAAAGAGGAATGAGGATTTAATATAATAAAGATACAATAAACTGTCATGAATTGCTGGAGCCATTGAAGGCATGGGTAGCAGAGTTCTAGAATATTGAAGAAATTAAGTCTGAGACTATGCTTTAGTCTAGCAATTCTTGGGGTGAAGAGGGAATAGGATTTGATGATTGAACAGGGGAGAGGGCAAGTCCATCTGGGAGAAAACATTAAAATCACAGGCAGAGGGAAGGGGGTCTTTTAAAAATTACTCATCTCTCCACCTGGAAAAAGCACTGCTTTATTTATGCTTTACTCATCTATTATTATTGACTTAGGTGTACATATTCTTACCCTTTCTTGTACCCCCTAAGTGGGAATATGACTACACTCTTAGGACTTGGTTACAACTTAGACAAAAAGGCATCTCTGATTTAAGTAGTTTTGGACTGTTTGTTTAATCTTTACTCACAATAGGGTTAACTATATTTTATCCCAAATAAAATACAGAAAACACAGGGTTTTACTGTTTTAAAACTGATAATGGTAAAGTAACATCTAAATTTATAAAGTATGTGGTGATAAGTCAGCACCAAAATCTACCAGTCTTGGCAAATCATCATAAAGTTTTTGTGACAGGCAAATATATGCACTGGTGACATTTTAAGGAAAAGCAAGAAGCCAGAGATGATCCTTTTTTCTAAGCTTGACAGAACTAACTTATAAATACTAGTAAACTTAGGTTTGACCATTGACTGTAAATTAAAAATAAGCTGTTATCTTATTTGTATTTATTAGCATAACTTAACAGTGTCATATTTAATTCACACACTATGTAACTCATTTACTCATGTATTCAACAAATAACTACTGAGCACCTATTATATGCCAGTAAAATAAAATAGCCAATCCCTTTCTCTCCTTGAGCTCACATTCTAGTAGGAAGAGACAAACAATATATTAGCTGCTAGGTGATGATAAATGCCCTGAAGAAAAATAAGGGAGTGAAAGGAGATGCTAGAGAAGAATGATTTTTATTATATCGAGTGACAAAGGAAGACATTCCTGAGTAAGTCTTTTTTTTGAGGTGACGTGAAGAAAACGGGAGAATAAGTCATCTGTGGAAGATTACTGTAAGAAGAGCACAATTTCTTAGAACACTCAAGCTATAAACCTTGAAAACTGTGCACTGGGTTTATGTGTTAACATGAAACCTCTGAGAAGTTTACTCCCATAGATAATCAGAACACTGGCAGGCACACTGCACCCTAAAAAGAAGATTGGAATAAGCACTACTCACGTATATGTAAAGGGGGAAGGAACAGCTCCTATAATCATGACATATAAAGAAATAATGAATTATAAAGAAACAACTTTCTTTACAATTTTAAAAATATTTTACATCAAGCAATAAGAAAAAAGGTAAGTCTGTTACTTGCATTTTCACTAACATTTTCATTTGAAGAATGTTAGTGACCAATGAAAAGACCAAAACTTAGCTGAGAAAGGAGAAAAAAAGGAAATAGAAGACACAAGTGATTTATGTAATCTAAAACAGGATTGGTGTATTGTCCTCTCAAAAAAGCTAAATTTAACATAGAGCTTCTGTTCAGTATTGACTCTTTCAGAACATATCAGTAGAAAAATTAGAATATAGTCACAGTTCATGAAAGAATCACTGTTAAACCAGCTCAGTTACTTGAATGAATCTGCCAGGTCAAAGTCTTGG